ATGCAGTGGGGTGGTCCGGGGGGACACCTCATTTTTAGCAAAGAACCCTCATTTTTAGAAAAAAATCCTATTTTTTAGCAAAGCACTTTTGGTTGCAGCAGAGAACCCTGATATTTAGCAAAGAACTCTTGTTTTTAGCAAAGACCCCTAATTTTTAGAAAAGACCCTGCTTTTTAGCAAAGATCCCTCATTTTTAGCGGAGGACCCTAATTTTTAGCGAAGAACCCTCTTTTTTAGCAAAAAGAACTCTCTTTTTCAGCAAAGACCCTGGATTTTTGGCAAAACCCTCTCGTTTTTAACAAAACCCCCTCAGATTTAGCAAAAGACCCTCATTTTTAGCAGAAAGAACCCTCTTTTTTTTTAGCAAAGATCCCTTATTTTTAGCAAAGAACCCGAATTTTCAGTGAAGGACCCTCATTTTTAGCAAAGTATCCCAATTTTTAGCAAAGAACTCTCTTTTTTTAGCAAAGGACCCTCTTTTTCAGCAAAGACCCCTGATTTTTACCAAAGAACTCACTTTTTTAGTAAAGAACCCTAATTTCTAGCAAGGACCTCTATTTTTTTTAGCAAAGCACCCTCATTTTTAGCAAAGAACCCACATTTTTAGCAAAGATCCCTCATTTTTAGCGAAGATCCCTTATCTTTTTTTAACAAAGACCCCTGATTTTTAGCAAAGCACTCTGAATTTTTAGCAAAGAACCCTCATTTTTAGCAAGGACCCTTAATTTTTAGCAAAGAACCCTCTTTTTTTTTTTTTTGCAAAGGACCCTCATTTTTAGCAAAGAACCCTCATTTTTAGCAAAGTACCCCAATTTTTAGCGAAGTATCCCAATTTTTAGCAAAGTATCCCAATTTTTAGCGAAGTATCCCAATTTTTAGCGAAGTATCCCAATTTTTAGCAAAGTATCCCAATTTTTAGCGAAGTATCCCAATTTTTAGCAAAGTATCCCAATTTTTAGCGAAGTATCCCAATTTTTAGCAAAGTATCCCAATTTTTAGCGAAGTATCCCAATTTTTAGCAAAGTATCCCAATTTTTAGCGAAGTATCCCAATTTTTAGCAAAGTATCCCAATTTTTAGCGAAGTATCCCAATTTTTAGCAAAGTATCCCAATTTTTAGCAAAGAACCCTCTTTTTTTTAGCAAAGGACCCTCTTTTTTAGTCAAGACCCCTCGTTTTTAGCAGATAATCCTAATTTACGACCTTATTTAACGGATCGAATCGGGGGGGAGATGCTTTTTTTCGGACCACCCCCAGCCGTAACCCTCCCGTTGGTCTCCGGCAGGAGGGAGCGTGCACGAAACTGGACGAAGACATCCTGGACATCCCCTTGGACGATCCCGACGCCAACGCGGCGGCCGCCAAGATCCAGGCGAGTTTCCGCGGCCATATGACCCGTAAGAAGATCAAAGGGGGCGAGATCGAGCGGAAAACCAAGGACGCCGAGTGCGCCAACAGCACCCGCGCCGGCGACCTG